GGTACTAAAAAGCTATGAATATACTTAGCACGCATTTCCTCTATAGAGCGAGCAGTCTACCACACAGTAATTAGCTATGGAAACTTTGCGCATGCGCATTTAATTTTAAAATGGCGTCTGAAACAGAGGGGTGTGATAGATCACGCCCAAATAATTAGTTTTTAAACTTAAACTAAGTAAGATAGTGGTGGGCGATACTGGCCAAAATGGATTCGATACGATACCGATCGATATCAGCTCATATCGAGAGTATCGATACAGTTTCGATACAATATTTAGACCACACCTATGGTGGTCACACCCCTTATTATTGACTGTTTTCATCGATGTTTTCATGCACGTGTATCCACGTGTGTGTATTTACGTCATTAACTTATTAAAATTTTCATTATTAATATTATTTAACCATAATAAATGGGCGTGGTCAATGTATCGATCCAGATTCATTCAAAATTTCGATACCAATACGAATCGATACCGTAAAATATCGTTTGTATCGATAAAATATCGATATATCGCCCACCACTAAAGTAAGATAATAAAAGCACTTGTCTTGTCCTTGACCCAAGCTCAAAGGAATGATGTAAAAGCCATTGCAAGCCATTCTCTAGTTTAAAAGATTTCCGTGTTGATAGAAGAAAGATGAAAGAAAGAAGAAGAAAAAGTCTGAAGAATTTTGCACTGAGAAATTTGAATTTGGGCCTATTCTCCAGAATCGCTATCGCTACATTACACTCCACTTTAAAGGTACCAGGAGAATCGCTCAGCGAAGGAGAACTTATCTAAGCGGTTTATAAGGCTGTACAAGGTAAGATGAAAGAGTTAAAAGCGTTTGAAAATTATAAATTTGGTCGCCATCTTGAAAAATCAACCTCAACCCTACATATAGGCTACCGCCTATATAATAAGCTCATCAGCTAGTGCAGTAGTTCTTAGAGTATCTTCCTCTCTGAGTATATCTAAGAATATACCAAATACTTTTCCATTCATATGGATAGAACTCAAAATGATGTGAAGCAGTTCATCCATTTTTGGCCTCGCCTACGCGAGGTATAGGTACACGCCCAAGAGTTGGAACATGGACCAGTCCTGATACAGGCCTGAATCATTACTGATGATCGAGCCTGGACCGAGGATTTGGGGCAATGTCCTGATCCGATATTGACGAATCAGCCACGATTTATGCTGGTGCCAGACCTGATCCGACAACGATAACGATATTCATTAAGCCTCATTATGACGTACTTCTCTTTTATGCTTAATTAATACTTAATTATTATTCATTATTAATTAAAAATGATTTGGAATTATTATTAAAACCAAAAAAGATTATAATTGTTTTCTTTATCATAGTCTACCAATGTTCCACAAGTAAGACACTTCATGTTTTGTAACTTAAGACACCTAAAGAGCCATAAATTAAGAAGGCACTAAAATAATAAACTTACATTATACTGAGAAATTAATTTCCCAAAATCTCCAACATTAATGAACTCTGGGGTTCCATGTAGTGAAGCAGATCTTTCAAAGGTATCTTGTAACACATAGTCCTACAAAGCTTAGATCCATAACATAACTATAATGAGGCATAAATTCTACATAAGCAAAGGAACTACATACCTTCCTTAACCAGCATGATGAAGGCAGGTTCACAAAAAAATTCAATGCTATTTGAAGTGAACTATAATGACAAATGATGATAATAAATTAAAACACTATGATTAAACTGACCTTAACAAGAGCTTTAAACAAGAAAGTTTCAGTTCATCACAACCTGAATAATGAATTTAGCTTTTCACATGAAATTAAACAAACCTAAGATATTCTTGTCTTGAAACTTAGTGAGATAAGGTAACTATAGAATGTATACTAGTGGCCTTGCTAAATTAATAAATTAATATGAATTAAAGGAGCACCTACTATACTAATATTTCTAGAATAAT